GCTAGTCTGGCTGCGGAGACGGCTGTCCAGAACGCGAAGCGCCCCAGGCGAGAGTCCAGCGGTGGACAGGCACCCAGAGCACCTCTGGCTCGGCCCTGGGAGGCGCCTGCAGCCCCCCACGTCCGGAGAAGGATGCGTGAGTTTCGCCCCGGCTCGAGGGCAGGATGTGGGAGCAGGACAAAGGCTGAGCGGCGGGGGGGGGGTTGGGGACCGCGAGCCGGGGGGCCCCGAGCCCCAGCGTCCGGCGAGCTAGCAGAGCCGGCAACTTTCTCTGCAACTTTTGCAGAAGGGAAGATAAAAATTTTGCAAGTTGTTGCACAGTTCCAGGTCACCCTAGATCCAGCGAGCAGGAGAGGGCACCGCAACCTTCTACGGGACGGGGCAGGAAGCGGGAGCGCCCGTCCGGGCCACGGGTCGGGGTGAGGGAGTATAAGAACCAGGGTCGGAGACCCGGCGCGCTCTGGTGCTGAAGTTGCGGGTGTCTACACAGGGTGCCTCCTGAGGGCTGGGTAGCCTCGGATCGCGGCGCCGCATACGCGATGATGGATGAACCGTGGTGGGAAGGGCGCGTCGCCTCGGACGTCCACTGCACCCTGCGCGAGAAGGTCAGTTCCTCCCACCCTTGTCACTCTCCAGACTGGGTATTTAAAGTTTCTTTCACTCTCGCCTCTGCGTTCCCGGGTGGCCCCGCGTGGGAACCGAGAACTCCTGGTGCCTTTCTTCCTGCCTGCCCTTTACCTTCTCCCAGAGGGGTGGAGTGAGACCAGGGGTGGGGGATATCGGAGAGTTCAAAGTTAGCCTTTCTGACCAGGAGCCGAGGAACCCAGAACCGCCGGTGGCCTAAACCGAGACAGCCCCGGCCCCCAAGACCGCATTTCCCATGCCACCCGGGGTGGTTTTAAATGGTGCATACATGGACTTTTGAAAAGTATCGCGTATTCATTCTAGTGCTATTTAAAAATACGTGTATATCTAGCAAGTTCTGAAAACGGTAAGTGATGCTGGTTTTCCATTATTTGTAATAATGATGTACCAATTCCTTTTTTTTTTTTTTTTTGGAGAGATTCACTGTAGGGCGCGTGCGCTCGCCAGACAGACAGAGAGAGACATAGAGACAGAAAGCGAGAAATCACCCCCCAGGGGGGATGGTCACGCCGCAATCCCTTCTCCTCCATTCTCCTCTCGGGATCTTGGGCACGCACGCACAC